TCTAACCTGAAGCCCATATTGTCCAAAAATAACCTGGAGACAGTAATACATGCATTCTTTACATCTAGGCTTGATTACTGCAATTCACTCCTGTTTGGTATCAGTCAGACCTCCATTGCATGACTACAACTGGTCCAGAATGCAGCAGCCCGATTTTTAACCAGTACAGGCAAAAGAGAGCACATTACACCAGTTTTGGCCTCACTGCACTGGTTACCGGTTCACTTTCGAATCCATTTCAAAATACTCATGTATGTCTACAAATCACTGAACAGTGTCACCCCCCCATCTCTCTGATCTGCTACAACCGTATGTCTCACCACGCGCCCTGAGGTCAGTGGACCAGTTGCTCCTCACAGTTCCAGGAACTCGTCTTAAGTGCAGAGGTGACAGGGCCTTCTCTGTAGCAGGACCAAGACTCTGGAACGAGTTACCTCTGCTTGTCAGACAGGCCCCCTCCCTCTCGGTTTTCAAGTCCCATTTAAAAACTCACTACTCTTCAATAGCTTTCAACACAAGATGATCTGTGTTTTGATCCTGTATGCTCTACACTGGTTTGTCATCATTATCTGTATCGTTTTTTGTCTATATTCTGATTTACCTCATTTTGTATTTTGCTTTGTGTGTTACCTGTTGTTTTGTCTGTACAGCACTTTGGTTGGCCTTGTTGCCGTTTTAAGTGCTTTATAAATAAAGTGGTATGGTATGTTATGGTATGGTATAATTTTTTCCAAAAAGAAATGTAAGAAGTTGTTGCACAGCTCAGTCGAGGCTTCCAGAGGTGATGGTTCAGTGAGGTGGAGAACAGAGTTTAGGGTGGAGAAGAGGACTTGTGGGTTGCGAGAGTTTGACGTAATTATATCAGATAAGTATTTGGATTTAGCAGCTTTTACTGCTTTCTGATAACGGCGCCAACTCTCTTTAAGTATTTGAAAAGAGACCTGCAGCCTGTCTTTCCTCCACTTGCACTCCGCCCTCCTGCTTTGCTGCCTAATGGCCTTGGTGACGTCATTCAGCCAAGGTTCTGCTCTGAGTTTTGATTTTTTGGTTTTAACAGGCGTAACATGATCCAGAGTCTTTAAGCAGACATAGTTGAACAGGAATGTCAGCTCCTCAGTAGTGGTGAAAAACACCGGGGGCTGAATTATCACTTCAGAGTTATAAACATCTGTGAAACTTGTAGCAGTGAAGTGGTTAATGGCCCGGCTACTACGTGCAGGAATGCACGGCTTAGGAGTTAGATGGGGGAGGGTGAACTCAAACTGGACTGGCATGTGGTCTGAAAAAACATTATCACCAATTTCAAGATTACTAACAGTCATATCACGTGTTAAAACAAGGTCCAGTGCATGTCCACGCTCTTGGGTGGGACCGTTTACTTGCTGAGTTAAATTAAATGAGTCCAATAAATCTAAAAAGTCCTTAACCAAGGGCTTCTCAGGACAGCACACATGCAAATTAAAGTCCCCAATACTGAAAACATGATCATATTTTGGTGTGAATTCAGCCAAGAAATCAGAAAACTCATTTATGAAATCCTTAGATCGAGGTGAGCGGTAGATTAGTGCAAATAACGTCAAAGGCGAGTGGCCGAGTTCAAAGACGCTCAGCTCAAAGCTGGCATGGGATACTGGGATGGGTAGTTGTTTACAGTCAAAGGTTGGTTTGAATATTTTTAATAATCCACCACCGCGCCGACCTGATGGCCGTGGGGCGTTAACATACAGACAGTTCGGTGGCAGTAATTCCATCAAGGCGCTGGACTCACCCGGAGACATTCAAGTCTCTGTGATGCAGAAAAAGTCCAACTCTTGCTCTTGAAAGTAGTCCCTGAGGATAAAAGTTTTTTTGGTAACAGATGTTGTGTTGACCAAACACATCCGGATACTGTCCAAAGTGGAGCCAGCAGCGGTGAAGTTTGCGCACATCAGTGGCCTCAGATTTTCAATAACAGCCCCTCCGGGTAAGCCCGAGCTGCGCACCGGCCGACAACTCCTGTTGTTTACCTGGTCCGGGTATGCAGGAAGTTGGCAATGGAAACCATGACCGCCAGCTGAAGAGGAAGATGCAGCGCGCAGGGCTTTAAGCTTTACCAGACGACCAGCATGTTTGCCCCGGCGTCTGAAGCGATGTCTACGGGCAGGCAGGTGAGGAGCCCAACAGAGGTAAGCTGGC